GAATTCCTGGGAAGGAGAAGAAACTCTCCCAGTGCTCCATCTCAGATGGAGCTGCCTCCTCCTGGTTGCAGGCTGGCAAAAGGTATTTTATAGTTTGCAAAAAAGGCTCTGTGGGCAACAGGGGAGGGGAGAACATTTGCCACAGCAGCTCTGTAATGAAAGTTCCTGCTAAGGCACCTTACTAGCCTAGAGGATATTGAAGACCACTGCAAAAATCCATTTACAATTCAGTAACCTTGGTCCTTTGGAAGCTACGCGTCATCGACAAAGACGACGCTACTCATCTTGTTTTTTCAGGGATAATAAACAGAGAATACTCCCTAGACTATCCTGATATCCTTATATACCCTATATTCACTTTGGCAGCATAAGCACTGATGGACGTGGTGCCGCAGAGCACGACGCAGACCTGTTTGAAGGAGGCCATTTAACAGCAGACAGACAGTCCAAGTTATTTATGCAAGAACTACTATTACTCATCATTTTGCCTGTAGAAATAGCACATATATGTCATAGTCTGTGCAGTTGGGGTGTAAATAATGAATGAATCAAGATTTTATAATTTAGTCAGTGCAGCTGACAAAAGTGATGGGACTTGTCAAGGCAGGGCAATAAAATGTTTACGTTATCTCTGCAAGTCTTCCGACTAGTGCGCGTGTCGTGGACGTCACTGTACAGACATCCTGCTTACAAGGCAGTAGTATGATTTGTTGAATGAGAGGACGTATGAAAATTGGACATGCTCCTTTCATTGCCACACATAACCAAAGTCAGCAGTTCAGTACAGGAATGGCGCAAATGCAAAGAACTACAGTCCTGGCCAGAGGATCAGCTCTAGACAAAAGCGTCACTTCAGTCACACTGGCAGAGGGAAGGACATGCAGCCCCTGAATTTTATGCAGGTAAACGTGTGGCATCGTGGTTGCAGAGGGGTCTGCCTATGACCCCTCTTGCTAAGAACCAAGGCACAGGCCTCCCCCTTTCTCGCTGGGGAGTCCCACAACTCACCAACTCCCAGACTGGGTCCTGGGGAACTTACCTTGTGAGGACTGGGAGGTCCAACTGGCTGAGGTGATCCTCCACCTTCACTTAGGAACTCAGTAACAAGACAAAACCTGAGTACCTGGAGAGCCTGTTATACCAAAGCAGTGCTTGTCCTAGGTAACAAAGTACATTTCAACATACTGTAATTTATAACAAGAGGATTAAATATTCAATTTTGGAGTAATCTTCAAAAATGCATAGGACTATCACCCCATATAGTTTCCAGCAACTATCTAGCCTTTGACTGGAGAGACTTTTACACAAGGAATAGTCTGTAAGTATAGTGGCTCTCACAGTTGGCAAAACAAGCAGCTTAACCTGGCTAGAGCTCAAAAGCCACCTTCATGCCTACTAGCTCTAACTACAAGCAGTGTGCCCTTAACCTTCTCCTCCCACCCCCTTCAAGAACTTATCTCAAAATACCATTATCACTTTTTACAACAACCTGTTAATAAAATAAATCAATAGAGCTATATAGCAAGAAACCCAACAAACAATATGTGTTAATCTAACGAATGGATAAAACATCAGGAAACAACCTTCCACACGCGGTAATACCAGGATTCACATCACGATTACTAAAGAGCAGATCCAAAAGTTATCACAGTAAAGGCTGAAAGCCAAACTAAATGACAGAAAAATCCCTACTCATACTCATACATGATTTTATGGTGCTTTTAAACAGAGATGCTCGCATCCTGTACCTGAAACTGTCCTTAACACAAAAAAGATGCCTGGAAATAACAAATACAATACCCTACTGTTTTATAACTGGTCTTTCTAACAGTCTGGAGTCTTGTCCCTCTTACAGACTGAAATTCCTGGAGTCAAATTAAAATAGTTCAGCACAGGGAGAAAAACTTGAGGAAATTCAGACAGTAGAGGAATGGCGCTGAGATAAGATCCTGCGTAGATAAGGAATGGGTGGGGGACAGAGAGGCCAAGAAACAAAAGATGACTTTTCCAGTTGGTGAGAACAAACAATGAGGAAGACTTTGAACCAGAAACCGCAAAAACACGTCAAGAAACAGAAAAAAGCATGGAAAGAAAGCTGGGGAAGGGAAAAAGAGAGAGCAGCTTTGTGCAATAGACAGAAAAAAGTGCAAAGCGTATTTTAAAATAAAATTACGATGAACCAGTTCATTTCTCAGACTTCGGGATCTTTTTTCAAAACTGGTCAGTCTTGACCTATCTCTGTAGAAGTCTAAGGGAGCACCTTTCAAAGATCATCAAAGACTGAGTTTACAAGACTAAGGTCAACCTTAATGCATAACTTCATCTCAAATATTTTCTCTTTTTTCACCTTACACTTATCTGGAGATTTTTATGAGAAAAATAAGAGGAATTGGTGCATGTTTAACTAAGTCAAAGGGCAGTGCTTAATTGTTAACCTTGGTAAATTCAAAGAACTTCAAGATAAGAGCCTTGTGAAATTGCCATCATTTGTTGTCTCCCGAGTAATGAAAAGTTATCTGAAGAGTAAAAGCAATTTACTGAGGGACTTGCAGACACTACTGCACTATCTTTCATCTCATTCAGAGCTTGGTTTTGTTTCAAATCATCTCTCACCGCTTCTCTAAGAGCATTTGTAAGCTGATGAAATTCTTCATGCTTTTTTGTATGAAAGGATCTTCTTTCTCAGGCATATTTATCTCCTGTGGAAACTTCCAAGAGGCAAAATAAGTTTTAGCATTTCTCAGTGAACACAGCACACCTGCACCCCACAGTCACCACTGATCACGATACAGGGCTCTGCAACAACGCAAATCAGAACTTTTGGCTCAGGAGCCCATGTAGCAAAGATGGTATTTTCTAGTATGCTCCAGCCTTGGGAGCTGATTCTGAAAGCGTGTTACAGAGATTTGATTTTCAGAGACCAAGGCAAGCTATTGTAGCTGCAGACTAATCAACTAGCACCTTATGAACATGTCTTTCCCGCGCTACATTTGGGGTCACCACTGACGACCAAATGACATCACTGAATCCAGCAGCACTTCACTGAAGGACCTTCAAGTGTCACCTTGCCTGTCAGATCAGGGAAGCCCTGCAACTGTTTGACTTTTGGACTTAGAGGTTCAGCAAATACTGCTATCCCAGGAAATATCAGTTACTTTGCACTAAACTTATCACAAATCTATACACACATTGGCGGTGTTTTCAGACTGTACTTGTGCCTAGTGTGCAGTTGACCACAACCAGCCACTGAGAAGGCATTTTTATGCGCACCGAACTTCTGAACATTTGGGTTTGGATGTCTCCCATGCAAACTTTAAATCATCTCTTGTGAGCACCTGCGCTGTACTGCCACCTGAGACTAACCAGCTCTTGAACTAACATGCCAGGAACAACACAGTTTGAGCTTCTGACAGAAACTGGGCTTGGTTTGACAATTTCTTGCAATTACAGAGATTGTTGAGCATGTCAGGCTGCAAAGGATGGATAAACCACGTTCAATTTAGCATCTCTCAGACACATAGTGACCTGATTTCTCTGATTATGCTTTCACAGGCTGGCCAGATGGCATTATGACAGCAAGAAGCTTATCCTACAGCAAATCCCTGTCCTTATCCATTTCCTCATGGAAAACGCATCAGACTGAAAATGGGGAATTAATCCCCCACACCTGAAGATATTCACAGGCAACACCTCTGAAGCACAGATATACACTAGCATAAGGGATGAATGATGAACTGGCCTAATCCATGCCCAGACAAGCGCTCTTTCAGCGGAGACTCCCACCCCTAATACACTGAAAATACAGAAGTCACTCCTTCTGCACCCATAACCTGGTTCCAAAATCCTAGGCCAAAATATGACAAGATGATTCTGCTGTTTTTAAAAAATCAACACAGCTGGTCAACCAACCGGTGCCTGCCATCTTATAATTCTGAAGGGCTACTGAGAACCAGTAACACAAGGGGGTTAGAATTAACACACTCCCTTGCGTCATCTAATTTGCAGCAGCAAGGAACTCTCTTTGCTTCCCACTAGTTCTTAAATAGTTGATGAGCTGTGCAGATAAACTGGCTGTGATGGGGACAACTGCTCAGATCTAATGGGAAGAGGTGGCTGCTTTGAGGTAAAAGACGGACCCATAGGAGAGTTTTCCTCTCGCTTCCTTCAAGTGAGGAGAGAAAGTCATTGCTAAGCTTTGGACAAATTCTTCTTGGAATAAGCCTCAGTCAAAAGGGGACAGGAAAGCCAACCTGCATTCACCATCTGGCAATTCTTTGCTGTGAAATGGCAGTCAAGTATGACGACAGATGGGATGGTATCAGACAAGGGGATCTCCAGGCTTGATCCAACAACGACTTAAGTCACAAGGAGTTTGGAGAGCAACAGCTATGTTATGAGCATGCTTCCATGAGACAAAACTACAACAGAAAGGGTTTAGTCCACTGGTTTTGTGTTTTGCATAAAACTCTATTATTTGAGAGTGGATTTTCATTTTCCTTAGCAAATGTAATCACAAGAAGTTGCTATCCTGGCCCACACTTGGGAGCGGCAGAAACTCTCCAGAAAAAATTCTTGCATTCGTCAACTGGAGACGGACCTTGACATCATTTGTAAGCTAGTCTAGATGGGTGAACAGATAAGATCCTCATTATAAATTGGGCTCATTTTATGCAAAAGAACGTGCAACTACTTCTTCCAATACCCACTTTGAAGGAATGAACAACCTCAGAAATGCCTGTGCCTCAATATTACCTATCAGCAGCAACTGTTCTTCCTGTGCTCCTGACAATTCCCAGTCATTTGGTGCCAGTTGGTGGAATGAGGGTCACATAGCTCACTCATTTGATAAGGGCAGATCACGATCCATGATCTATGCTAGCAGGCACAGAGAAGCTTCAAAAATATCTTTATTGGAAGTTGAAAGCTGTGCAATTCTCATGCTTGATGGCTGAATGCACACAAGAACATAAGATACAAACGCATCCGTCAGCTCGGACAAGCTTGATTTGCTTCTTTATATAAACATACAGCTTTATACTTTGAAAAGCCACTGAGTAAATATATTTTCTCCTCCAGTAGTGCCAGATATATACATAGAAGTGAAAGGAAAGCAAAAGGAAGAACAGGCATGTTTTGTAAGCTAAGCCACAATCAGATGGTAGCTCTGTTCTACTACATGAGGAAAACGCCTCAGGAAATGACAGCCAGACTTTTGTCGAGGAATCATCTTCAGGTGTCAACAGATGAGCTTCAGGTTCTTCCAGGCCAGGCAAAAAGCCTGGTTCAGCAGCAGTCACATCTATGCTGAAACAGCTTGATGATTCCTGCTTCAGTTTGTTCAGTCAAGACTAAGGCTTCACACAAGTAACGTTTTCCATTTGAATAGCCCTTTAACCTTGTATTAAGGCCAGTCTGGGTAACACTAGGTGAGTCAAAATACTCATAAGCGCAAAGGATGACATTCCCAAATCCCCCAGAAGGCCCAGAGCATTTCCGTAGTACTGCTGGTGTTCATCAGATAGCAAAAGCCTAAGCCCCAGAGAACATCTTGCCTGAAGGAATTGACGTTTGTGGGGCAGGGAGAGAATCACGTAGCATTTTTCAGATCTAAAAGTGTATTTAAAGTTCATATTAGAGAAAAGAAACCCCATACCTGTTAGCAACTCTTTATACAGATCTGTAAAGACACATGGCCATATCTTATACAGTAAAACCCTGCTCCAAATCCATTTACTATACAAAATATATACTCTACGCTACTTATTTGTATTCTATAGATCCCTTCTGTGAACTACAAAAGGCAAAACAGAAATAAATGTGTTTGCCCAGGGATCAGTGGCAGAATATTCAAACACGGCTCTTTCACGAACCTCCCGACTCAGAAATCTTACAAGGACTTGAAGCTCCTTTTTCTGATATAAAAAGGCTATGCAGGGACAGCTCTTCAAAATTAGGAAACTGATGGTCAGCTCTAATCTCAAAAGCAATAAAAATAACAAAGGAATCCTAGAGCCAGAAATCTGTGCAATTGCTCACTAAAATAGAAACATTGTCAATACGAAAGCACAGCCACACACAACTACCTGTTAACTTTAGTCTTGGGAATTGCATTTGCCTTGGGGCTAAAACAGGCACCTGACTTTCCCCATTAACTCCCTTAAATTACTGAAGGGCCTGGAGACTGTTGCTATCACACTGGAAATTATCTTATGGAAAGAGCAGTACTCGGAGAACTGACAGTGCCAAGAGCTTTCCCCACCTCATAGTCACGCAAATTGCTCATTTTCAAGCAAAACCAAACTTACTAATATCCCAGTAATTCTGGTTCAGGAACTCACCCCAGGCATAGAAATAGCAGCACTTAGAGGGGACAGGGAAGGAAGGGAGACGTATGAGTGAAGACCCCAGTGACTGCTAATGATGTTAGCACAAGGAGCTTCTGTTGTTCTTATTCAGACCTTTAGTATCAGTTTTAGCATTTGCTTTATTTCATGCTCAGGCTGCAGTTTTGTTTATTCTGAGGTGATATCATGATACAGATGCCTTAGGAGAACAGCTGCCCTCTAGCTTCAGGAAAAGAAAAAAATTTAATCCAATAAACCTTAACATCTTCTCAGAATGCTGTTTAATAACCACCTGATAACATTCTTCCGAGAAGTTAAAGAACCAGCACCATTGCTTTTAGGGCTTGATTTAAACCCCAGGGCAGATATTGAAAAAATTTACTGCTGTACTTGGATCTAGCCCTCCACCACTATGTTAACTATCTGCTATAATCCAATTTTTCCACTCTTTCTCTAAAGCATGACTTTTCTCATTTGCTAGAAATCTACTTCCAAGCGGATTCCAAGCACTGAGAGTCAAGGCTTCAGGAACAAATTCTTCACGCGCCAAGCTACAACTAAAATCCTTTTGTCAATATAAAATCATTCATTAAAGAGGTTGAATATACATATATACCGTATAGAACTAAAAACAATAACATCAGCCCTTTCCACCCTTTAGGCAAATCCACAAATGCAGAACAGTGATTCTGAGAAAAACTCTTCAGCTACCTCTTCTCTCCCTCTTGTTTGAGGAGCTAAATACTCAGTTGATACCGATGAATGATATGCAACTGACACAAGATCCAGTGGCAGCCAGACAGCTTTGCCTGACCCTTTAGCTGCCAGGGCTAGCATCAACAAAATGAAGGAGCCTGAGGGAATGAATAAACATTACACCAACTGAAGCTTTTCCCAAACAAAAATAATATACACTCATGCCCAATTGTGAAAGGAGAACCCTCAACCAAGTAAAGCACTGAAATGCGTTGGCAAGCAGATGCCCTTCACCCTGCTCTCAGTCTGCTCATTTCAGCTGCGGAAGAGGTCCAGGAACCACTGGAGGGGCTGCCTGAGGACAAGGCTTGCAATATTTCCTTATTTCCATCAGAGTCATTTTGGGATTCATACCTGTAAAACAAGGATGGAAAGGAGAGAAAACAAAAAAAAAAAGTTTAATCAGGAGTGCTTAGAATGGCACAAAGCTTCAATGCATGGAGCTGTCCCTCGTTTGTACGGCCAGGCTTAGATGACTGGTGATCTAAAAGCAAAAGGGATACGATGGCAACCTTCTCTTCACTAGACTGCTGGAGATGACCCATTCCTAGCAGCTTTTTTTCCTGTGCAGAGGGTGCACAGTCACTGAAGGTGCCATGATACCTGCTGCTGCTGGCAGTATCACAGGTGAAGGTTTTCATAGACAAAGCAGAACTACAGTCTCTCCAAAGTTCACATCTTACAGTCAAGATTTTACACGGTTAATTATATTACACTATATAACATCATCTCCTTCACATCACCACACTCAGCAGCTTTCCTGGAAAGAAATCACAGGCTGACATTTGCACCAAGCATTTGCTTTCTGGGACATCAATTGTTTTTGCTTTGGTGGAAGAACAAAGTTTTAGGAAATTTTTTTGCTTCAAAAGTAGTAGCCAGTATGGTTTGATTATCCCCCTCTTTAAGTCACACCGAGTTACCTTTTAAGTGGTTTTGCAACCACTTTTGCATAGGCCTAGCAGAAAGAATAGAGCAGAGTAACACTTAAACAGTCACTGTGTTTGCCTACAGAGCGTAGGAAGCAAGTAACATTCACTCCCCTAGAAAAGCAAGCAACGTGGAAGTAAACATCACCCAGAGTTCTAGTAACAACCATACAAAATGCAAGCCTGCAGCGCTCAGTTCCAATCCAGAACTGGATATGAAACCAGAACGCTGCCATGTTTAGCTTTTGGCAGTTGCTGCATTAGGCCTGTTTTTAGGTCTGTCTCAGTAGGAGTCAAACAGATCTAGATCAAGCATTTTCATATAAGCAGATCTGTAACTGAGAGACAAGCAGTAATGCACAGCAGACTAATAGGCACTGTACAAAAGCAAAAAACCCAACAACAAACAAAACCTACAAAGGGCAGTATCTGATCTACAGAAGACTTGACTGCAGCTGGGGACAACAGACAGTTACAGCAGATAGGGCTAGATGCGCACAGGGAACCAGGGTGCAGTCAAACAGGGTACAAGGATCATTAGGTATTACTGGGTTTGCAGCACAGGACACCATTTCAGATTCCCCTCTTAGAGATCTTTGTGGCAAGTTTATAGGTTTTAAACAGGTTCCTTCATACATTTCTCCCCCACCTCAGAAGAGTACTGAACACTCCCCTAGGAGACCAGTATCATTTTATTTTACCCATGGGAAATCGCTGGCCTATTTTCAAGGAGATATTCTAGTTTGGAACCACCTCTCATCGGGAAGGGCTCATGCCGTCGCACAAGGCAGCCTGCGCCACCTGTTATATTGTCAAGACAGTGGAAGGTCCCTCAAACTGACAAGAAATAGCTGTGCTTATCTCATGAAAGCTCAATATTTTGGAAAGGTGATAGGTTCAGCCCAGAGAAGACACATGCACTGTCTCCAGCAAGAGTCACCTGTGCGTGGGCAGTATTGCATTCCCATGACACTGCAGTTGGGTTGGGACACACTGCTCTTGCTGTAAGACATAATGAATAGCTGAATAAGCCCTCAGTTGCTCTTCCATCTGCCAAATAAGGAGAAGAGCACAAAACTATACACCTCTGACCACAGGCATAATCCTATGGAGTGTTCACTGCCCCCGAGATCGATGGGACTGCTTTTCATAAAATAAAGCCCATGATTCAGAGAGGCTGCAAGGGACTGACCACAGTCACCAGCTAAAGGAAGACTGCAGAGAAACATGTGGATTTCACCTAAGCTAGGTGAATACAAAAAGGAATAAAGAACTGGAGGTTTTTTAACTACTGAAATTATAGTTTCAGGATAAAGGACTGAAAGAGGGTAAATAAATCGCTTGGAAATGGCCCATTTCCAAGCAAGTTTTATAAAGTTTAAAAAGGGCTAGCTGATAACTTTTATTAATACAAGTTAGAAACTTTCTAAAATTTAAAATATTATTACTGTGCAAAACATACATGGTATTCATGTATCAATGCTAACATAATATTGAATGGTATCTAAAGAGCATATATAATCTTTTAATCTTAGACCTACTCACGGTTTAGCTTTTTACCAGAGTCTTAATGAAGCCAGGGAAACTATGGACATACAGAAAGAAGCAATTTGAGTGTTTTCAGACTACTGCAGGTGCTGAATCACCTTGGTAAAGATATATGAGAGTCAATACTACTGCTAAGAAAGAAAACTGTCCCATTTATTCAGTGGAAGCACCGATGTGATGACAGAGTTCCAAAAACTGCTTTAAAAAATGCAGGTGATTCTTTCTGCAGCAAGTATTTCTTCTGCTATCAGAAGTAGTCCTAACTAGAAACTGGGCAAGTAGGGCTAGTTTTGCCACTGTCCATCTGAACAAAAAGCCAAGTCCCAGCTAACTTACTCCATTCCTTGCTTTTGCTTTCTACACAGTTAAGCAAATGGAGCTGTTTGCAGGCTTGTGCAGGTACCCAGAGTGTTGTGTAAACTAAAAGGTATACAAAGAGGAAACATTGTGCCTGTAGCTGGAAGTATTTGCATCAGCTTCCCAGCTCTGAGTCACCAGCCAGTCAGGAAAGAAGGAAAAAAGGGAATTATGATCAAGGTTTTATGAAAGTACAAATGCACCACCTGGAATTCCTACCAAAAATGAGGCTACTTTAGAAAGCAAAATGCTTTTCTGCATTTCCCATTAAGAGGAGGTGGTCTTGGAAGACTACAGGGCAGCCCTCCCCTCCCATGCACTCAAGCCAGGGAACACTGCCTAAAAATGGCTCCGAAGTACTTGAATGCAAGCACACTCCTACTTGTGCAGTCCTTACGAGTTTGCCCTAAGCAGGGGTGTCTGCCTCAGGCTGTTCTTGAACCCAGAAGAATTTTTTTTTTCCCTTTTGAATTTACAGAATCATACTTTGGTTGTTTGCATAAAATATGGAGATGGATGCAGCCACAACTAGATGGTGACAGAATAGACCAAGGAAAGCCCCCCATAAAACTCTACTTTTGCAGGTTCCCTTCATCCTTTTCAATAAGGAACCGTGGTAAGATACTATTCTCCCTGCCCTCAAAACAAAAGCAATACCTTCTACAAAGCAGGAATTGATACGAACGGTATGTTTTCATCTGACTATCAGGCTTCTCTGATTGTTTTACACTGCGAGCATTAAATGGTTTCCCTACTCATTTCTTCCAAATCCAAACACTGATGCATTAGATGACTGAGAAAACAAAGTTATTTTTGTGGTACAATCAAGGTAATACCAACACAGAAAATTGTGAGGTTTACAGATGACAAAACTAAGTAACATCACATTGCTATCATTATAGATGAATCAATCAAAAAGCGGATATTACCTTTCTGCGCTTTTTTGTGGAGTTTGGGTAGTTTTGAGCAGCAGATTTTTTTAGCCTTCCCACCTAAGGGTAAAGAGTGATACGTTACCAATGGGGACAGAGGATACAGTTATCTGCGTGCATACATCAAAGAGGTTAGAATCCAGAGATGTTTTGACTATTGCTTTACATGTGAAATCCTTGAACAGAGATCTGTAAAATAAAGGATCATCATGACTGATTTTACATTAGTCCATATAGCCGTACCCCTATCACAGAACAGGGATGAATTTGTTCTGTATCTACTAGCAGCGATGGGAAAGTAGAGACACGTTGTGGAAGTTTTCACCCACTGAAACGTCACATATTGGCAGAAAACGCTGTCAATGAAATTCAACTGCCTTAACCCAATAAACAGACTTTGCACTGTTTTTATAGTTAACTTAATGGAAGTATAAAAATTAAGAGAAGAGAGTGTGTATCCACACGTACAGCGGTGTGGAATAGATCATTATTCCCTGCCCACTAGGCCTAAATAAGTGGGACTTTGATTGCATACTGAATGCTGGATAGAGTGCTGGCTACATTAGAAAAGAAAGGTCAATTCTGAAGTGACCATGGAGCAGGAAGAACTCCGAACAGTGAATCCTCACCAAAAGTCTCACATATGCTCCATGATTCCAGAAATCATAGCAGCGTGGCTCTACAGCCGAGGCTAGTGATAGCACCTGCTCTAACATCCAAGGAGGTTGGGGTTTCTTACCAGGGTTGCTTCATTCCAGTCTAACAGGTTCCAAATGACAAGACAGATGCACACCCAGGCACTTCTACTGCAGCTAGAGCTAGTAACACTGCACTGAGGCAAGGAAGAACTACACAGTCAAGAAGTGAAGGACAGACAGACACTGGGCAATGCTTTAAAATATGGGCATGAGTACATGGGGGTGAGGGTGTTTGGCTGAGTGTTAAAGGGAGGGGTTGATTTTATCTTAGCCAACCCCAGCGGGAATAGGGTATTTTTCTCAAGGAGCAGTACCAGGTGGCTACAGTATCTCCTAGACTGTTCCCTCACACTTCTGTGCCAGCTGCACTCAAGCACACTCACACGTGCAAGAGGCTTTGGCAATTTCATGCACACTACTGAAACAGTCCTTCTAGTCCGTGTGTTTATGGATAAGAACTGTGTCCTTTGCACATTTCCTCTCCCCCTTCTGACCCAGTGAAGGGCTAAACCTCCAGGACGCACACTAACGGATGGGAACGTTATCACAGGAATCTGCACGTTTTCGGCTCTTGTTTTCTCCTATCCTTCCTGCTATGCTCCTGAAGACTCATCTAGGTAGCCTTCTCCAACTCCCTTTGCACCACTTCTTCTCAAGCTCCCCGTAAGGGGCCTGCGAATCCTAAATAAAGGTAAAAAATGCAAAGGGGGCAGAAATGTTTCAGGTACATGATATTGCTCTCGTGTTCATTTACCCTCACCACAGCTCTAGCAAATAGCTCTAACAGGCAGAAAGATACAAAGACAGGGCTACTCATCCGACCAGTCTTTTTAAGAGACAGCTCCTGCATGTTTCTCCTCACTCATATGCACACTTAAACGATGATTCCTATGAGGTTTCTAGAAAACGTGAAGCATGGCTAATCTGCTGCCCTGACCTTTGGACATTTAGCCTATCTGTTTTTCCTTATCTCGTGCTCATTCTCTACATCTATGTGAAAGCTAAACACCACGGAACAATCACGCTGATATTTTTAGCACATTAAAAAGCTGAACAGATAGCCAGAGAAGTTAAAACACCTCTCAGATTAAAAATCCGACTACACTGCCTCCCTGCAAATCCAGAATGACATCTCCAGATGTTTTGCAGCAGAAAAAACAAACCCCATTTTTAAGATAAAGCTCCGTGCTTTGGAACACTGCAAAACGTTAACTGGGTGGCACAAACACACAGTAACTAAAGTATGTCACATCAGGAGGGAAATCAGTTTTTCTGACTGAGGGTCAGAAGAGCTATTCCCACACACCCTTCAGTAAAGAACTTCTCATTTACTCCCGTTCTGGATATCTGACTTAGTTTCATGCTCTATTGTTCCATAAAGATAGCAACTTTATCCATCAATGTATTTCCTGATTAGCAAGAAATATTTTTATATTGTCAGATGGATATCTACTGAACAATGTAACAGGATTCTTTTGAGGGGAGGGTAGAAATTAATCACGCTGTACTACATGCAACAGGTAGTAACAGAGGCCTCTGCGAGGCACAGTAAGCACTACTGTGAAAGTCAAATAAAGCATTGATACACAACTATAGTAAACAGTTCTAAGTTTCTTTTGCCCTTTCATCTCTACTGTCAAGTTTTGTTTTGTTTTCTAGAATTAAATCAGCATACAATAGAGAGAATAAGAATTTCTATATCACAAAAGGAAAGAAGAAGAAAAGAAACAAGGTAGATCTGTTAGAAGAACGTACCATACCTTCTACAGTAAAGGCACTGAAGCACAAAAGAAAGAAAAACAAGAGGCTGCAGAACGCCAGCAGCTTCATCCTTCCAGCTAGTCAGGAAGCTTCTTCAATGAGACCGAAAGCAGCATTCTGGTTTGCCTCCAGCATAACCTTATGTTTTTATAAGGTAGATCGGAAGGAATGCTGTATTCAGGATGGGTGGAGATTTGGCCTTTGCATTGCACTTCAAGGAATGGAAAGAAACAGCCCTCCCTGCCACAAGAAACAGCTGACGCACAAATCCAGTAGCAATTAACTTACATTAGAGAGGTTCCTTCCAGTTAATGGGGAGAGTCTGGCTTTGAGTATAAGAGTAAAGGGATGCTCTGAGGCACAATCTCACCTTGTGACTGGGCCCTGCGGTTCTACAGCAGCTTCCTTAGGCAACCTCATGTGCTCTTTCGGGTGCTTGCAAAGGCAGAAAGCCTTAAGAAGGAAACTGTGGACAGGTAACTGGAAAAGGCAAAACAAACCCGCAATGTTTAAGTTAAAGCAATTTCCGATGTAGCGTTAACATAATTAGCAGGACACCTGGTTAAGCAGCATATTTCTGAGTTTATTATTAACTTCTCGGTATCTACTATACCTGGATAATTAAGTCTTAGAGACTCCTTTTAACAGTCAAGATAAAGAAGTCCATCAAATCTGATACAGTACCAAGGTTCAGAAAGAACATATTAAAAAAAACTTTCAAGCAGGGATGACCTGCAGAGCGGTTAGTCTCCTAAATTAGGCCAAAATTGCGGTTTAGCAGCACCAGAATCTCACAGCTTATTCTGAAAAGATTTGATTCCACGCTGGGAGAACAAGCTGTGAAGGTGAGGCTGCTTTTGTGATGCAAGCGGTACCTGCAAGCTGCTCATGCTTGAAACAGTAATGGGAGAAGAGGCTTCCCTCTGGCATCCACATAGCATGCACCCACATCCTCAGCGCACACATACTGAAATTCAGAGGTTTCACATTGGAGGTTCTGGATTCGGTTTCCTTTTTGTGCTGGACTGCCAGCCTTCTAAATCAGGTCACCCCTTTTATCACCAGTTTTAGCTAAAACTACCCTTATATTTCTACATTCTTACCTTACAATCTCCAAATATTGTGGGATTTGCTAACGCCCAATGGTCTTTTTTTGCCAAAGCTGACATTACCAAGGCTGTAAGATGAAAATTATTAACAACACGTGCTACAGATAGCATTATCTTCAAAGTACTTTATGAGCAGTCCTGCTTTACCATTAGCACACCTCAGAACACGGTAAGGTCTCCAGTTCATAACACCGCTAAGCCTCTCAGAAAGCACTTCTACAGTTCAGTCAATGACCCCCCCAAAAAAAGAGCGCTTTACTGTTGCTTTTATGTTCTTGGGCTTCTTATCAAGAGTTCAAACATATGGCTATAAGCCCCAATCTTGCACTTTTAAAATCAGCAAAACTTTTGCCAGTGAAGAGAGAATCAATCCTACACTTCATTGGGAAGTATTTTATTCCCCTCTAATGGGAGAACAGTCATTAGCATTACCGAACCAGATTTTTTTTTTTTTTTAAAGTATTTTACAAATAGAAGCAGTTATATTTAAACCAGAAGCACTATAGGAAGTATTTTTGACTTGGAAACACCTACACAATTTGTTTTATTAACTAAATCAAATTTAGGATTTCAGTGCATCAACAGAAACATTAAATTGCTTTAGATGTACTCTGAACTGAGGAAAACGTTTGGGCCATAAGCTTAGAATATATGATGAAATCTAAGGTGATAACAGCTCAATCTCTTCAGAATGGCTTCCCTGGAATAGTGTGTTCAGGTCCATCAGCAAGCTTCTCTTTTAGCAGACGGCCTAATTTGTGGCTAAAGCATTTCAAAAATGCACTTGTGGAAGTCATGGCACAGTCCTTCCCACCTCAAATCAGGAAAATTCTTGAGTGCCTTTTTTCCTGTCCACTCTTCTTCAGAAAGTACTCACCCAACTTTAACAAGGTGGCAAATGACTCTCCTGTATAGGGTAATAAACTACACAAAATCAAGACTGAAATTCTCAGTTTTCTAGGCTAAATGAGACCCTTATCAAGACAAGGGTAGTTACCTCTTCCTGCAGATAGGGGGAGCAAAAGGAAATGAGATTTTAAATAGGATATGTGACCTGCCAAACTACTGGAATTCTTCCAGATATTAAGGCAAGTTTTATTAATTAAAAAGAAAAGCAGCCTAGACAGTGTTCCTAGTGGCTTTGCTCACAGTGAATACGAGAAGGGATCGTACAGGTAGCCAAGCTGTGCTGAAGGTGTAGCTCAGCACATAGCCCTTGCAATCGTCTCCTCACTAGCGATTAAAAGAGGACAAAAAACAAGGCAGTTTTCTGCTGTTTGTTTCATCTTTTCCTTCACCATCTCCAGCACAGAGAACAAGTTCTCACTGCATAAGCCAAGTCTTTGCACAGACAGAGCAAGTAGATAGGATCTTTTTCCAAGAAAACAGAAGAACGAAAAATTCAATCTAAACTGAGCATGTAGAACACGCTGGGAAACTTCATGGGCTAGTCAACCTACTTGCTAAGATCAGCAAAACATCCTACCTGTCAAAAAGGCAGCAGAAAGGATAAGTGGGAGAGTCCTTTCTCTGCAACATTCAATCAGGCTGCCTGAATAGCGGTGATGCTCAAGTGGTTATGTACCTCAAACCACAGTATTTTAGCTCCATCACACTGAGAAAATTCTAGGCAAGCTCGTATAATTTACTTATTTTATTTATACATAAATAAGAGGACCTTGTACAATACAGGGAGATAATTAACACTGCAAAGAGAGCCTACCTGAAGATATTCTCAACACACCTGAGGGTTAAAGTAAAACAAAAAACCAAAACAAGCACTAATTCAGAGTTCAGTCTACTGCCCTGTGAATTTGAATAAAATCTCCTTTAAATCTTGAAGTGTTTAATGGTTATATATAATTATTATCCCTGTAAAAACTCAGGAAATCACAACATCTTATTTTAAATTTTGGTCTTGTCAAAGCCAGCAAGGACTCTTCTACTGAGCGGACTGAGGCCCAATTTGCTGTGTATGCCAAACTTTTTGCAAACTGAGATCCTCCCAAAATGCCTGGGAAAGGTGGGGCAGCAGGGATACGTGCATGGAGCCTGAGAGCTAGAAAGGGAATAACTGTGGGGATTTTCTCCAAGCGCTTTAGGAGGTATCACTACATATACTTGCAGTTCAATTAATTCTGCTTTTATCTGTTAGGGATAAAAATTGGACACTGAGCAGAAGATTGAAATATATTTTAAGAGTTGCATTACTTTGGTTTGCTGGAGGAAAAAGGCAAAAGAGTCCTGCTTTACCGGCAAAAAAGTTAACTTTGCTACTCAGCATCACCCTACACAGGTAATGCTTTTAACTGTAATCCACAAAATAATTATTGGAAATCAAAGTGTCTCCTCTCTAATGAGGAACGGTCAAAATTCTCATGTCAGAACTTGTTACCTACTCTGAGAAAATAATTTTAGTTTCACTAACTGTAAGGTGGTTATTTCTGAAACTCACCGACACTCAAATTTTCCCATGCTTCTGTGGTAAGAATGAACAATCACATTTTTTCTTTAAGAATGACTTTGCTGATACCAGACGGACAACAGAAAAAAAAAGAGGAAACTCAAGTCACATCTCAGCTCTGCCTCTTAAAATGGCAGCTGCCTCACCCAAACAGCTTTCTTCCTGAAACACAAAGGTGAAGTACAGATGAAAGAAATGTCATAAAAGGCACATATTAACTCAAATCTACCAAGACTTTATCCCCAAGGAATACAGGTCTTTAACATCAAACACCACCCCTGCCTTCCTTTCCTGCATACAACCCCCCCCCCCCCCAAATACAGAAAAGAAAGTTAAGCAGGTAATACTTGATATCAGTTACAGAAGAGAATCTCATCACACGATGGTTACTGACATTTCCAGCTATGTTCATTTAATTAAACTGGAACGCTGCTGGAATGTTAAATGCATTACAGCTGCTGCCAACATCTACCTCAAAGAGATATTTTTCTTCCGAAATATTTACAACAGAATATTGGCAATAGGAGTGTTTACAAAGACTTGTTTTCCTAAATAGAAATGACTAGACTGCAACTTTACCATCTGCCCTGAGCAAGAAGCAAGCAAATGCTACTTGAGGGTCCTCTTTGTTTTCTGAGGAGGAGAGACAGGCTCCTACTAGGTCTCTTCTCCTGCAGCAATCAAAGCCTTCCAGGCACCATAATTGAACCTGCCTCCCTTCCTTAACCCTGCATGCCCAACTACCCACAGCAGGGAAATAGAGTAGGTGGTAAGAAGCTGGGCTGTCTGCCCAGGAGAGCAATTGTAAACTGTTTACTCCTCTTTTGCCCTTAAAGTCTGCTCTTGTATTTCTTGTTCAGGTTTTGGAGAAGCCAATCGACCACCTGTCTAAAAGCTTTTGTCCCAGAAGGGTGCAAAGGACTTTGGTAGACGAGTCCAAAAACTGCCCACAAACCTCCAAGTCCGCTTGCCTGTAAGGGAGGCTGCCACTACAACTTAGGTAGGTGTAAGAACAAGCAGTAAGATGTTATTTGCAAAGCGTTTGCTGCCCTCAGACCAGAGATCAGCGATCTCTGTCAAAGCACAGCACAACAGATGAATTCCTTATTTTCTCTTCTCCAGTGGATCCAGCATCTACAACCTAGGTGCTCTTCTCCATTCTGACTGGAAAGGCCAAGAGTGCTCCAAGACGGTGGGTTTTGTTTGTTTGTTTTTGAGAAACTAGTATCTACTCATGCATTTGTTAAAAGTTCCCTGCTCTTCAATGGGACTTAGTTACGACACAGAAACTAAAACATTACAGCTGTAGCACAGGATGAGTCTCTCATAATACACCAGGACTACAACTGACTGTGCCGTGTCCCATGCACTACGAATGACGCTGATTTAAAGTGCTTCAAATAATCTTTTTTAAATCATCAGTTCAAACAGCAGCAGATGTTAATACTTGCTGTTAATCTTGTTTCAATCTGTACACATGGATTATTTTTCTAAGGAATGGTTCACCACAGTTGGTTAATATACCCATAACTGTCATGTCAATTTTCACAAGACATGGCCTTTGGTCACGCCCCTACTTTTTTGCATAGCTGGAGGAGGTATAAAGACTTATTTCAACATTTATCAAACTCAGTTCCATGCTTATTCAACTTTTCAATGTTCCTATTTTTAGTATGCCAGATTAACCCACTAAATTTTTCCTTTGATTTTTGCAAGACTTTTCTGCTCAGCTAACTCCTCCTTTCTATGGAAGTCTCCCCATTTTCTTGGCGTTCATAATTCCTTGCTGCTCTCGTAGGACGAGTTATTCCTGGATTCGTTAGCTCTACCCTCTCTTCCTCCCTCCATTGCTAAGATCCTACGCAGGTCCTGGTTAGATAAACCCTTGTCACCATCATAAAGGTTTGACTTCCTTCCTTCCTTCCAACATTTATCCCCACTGTTCCTTCTTAAAGGGCAGTAGTTGGGCGATTCTTTTTGTTCATTCCTGTCAGAGCTTCTCCTCTCTGCCTTATACCCTTGATTATGCTGCTTTTCTTTCAAGAGATGGTCATTCACTTTTCCAAACATGCTCTAGCTAGTCCTACAATTTTTGTTCTTGAAACATGCGTTCTGCTCATTTCTCATGCCTGTTAATTTTCCTTTCTCTTTCTATTTGATATTGTAGCACGATGTTCAGTGCTTGTTTGTTGTTACGTACGTGCACAGAAACAGGATAACTGGCATATCTAATTATGACAGTCAAACTCTGTGGGATTATATGCTGCTCCAAGCATGACTCAATTACATACAAGCAGAAGTCTGCTAAAAATTCCTCACCTTTTACAGAAATTCCTTAATTTTGCTGGGTATGCCAAAGAACAAACAGGGCATACGCTTACCCTTAACTAAATTAAAATCTGATCTTGAAGTACTGACTACAGCTGATATTTCTAAGGATTCCCATGACGTTTCAAATAATTCTACTTTAAGTCATGATCTAAATAAGCAGTTGGAAAACATTATTAACTGATTTTCACTTTTTCGCAACCATACACAACTATTTTCATAAGAAAGTGTTCTTTACAGTTGGCTGGTATAAGCAAGAAGGCCAGACCTGTCTCATGGATGCATTTTCCGTCTGCACAGCAGAAAAGAGCATGAAATCCGAATATTTTCTTAAGGTAAGGTCCAATGTAAGAAGCATTGTACACCTTTCATCCAACCTGGCCTTTGCCCAAAAGGCAACACTGCTGTAAAACCATAGGGTAATACGCTCTGGCCTTCAAACCTATAAAATAATATATCTGTAAAACAAATAACGCTTAGCATGCCTGCTGCCTCTGTAAAACTTGAATTGCTCTCCAAAAGGCAAAGCTGATTCCTCCCTACTTCTGCCTACATTAAAAAGCAAAACTCACTCTTTCATACTGGAAGAGTTTGATACGGCAGCTTGTTTATAAATGATCTTCAGCTGTAGCAAC